AAATGTGTCTAGTGTTGTCGCCTCAACTGTTCCTTTTGAAAGATGGTTCCAGTCCCTGATTGTCTTGGGCAGGAATGAGCAGCTCCTATACTGGCTTCTTGCTGGTATGAGCCTGAATTGCCTGTCATGGCCTTGTCGCTGTCTATGGGGGAGAGGGACGAGTTTCTGTTTAATACTGGAACAGTGGACCAGCCCATTATTTATCTTGTACATCATGGAGAGCCTGGATTGTCGTCGTCGTTTCTCCAATGGTGACCAGCCTAGTGTTTCTAGCATGCTGCCAACACTAGAGGTATTCCTGTAGCGGTTTAGGACAAAGCGAGCTGCTCGTCTCTGGACCGCCTCCAACCTGTCAATGCTCTTCTGGGTAAATGGGTCCCAGACTGAAGACTGTTTATTTCGCATTATTTATTGGCATCATTATTTCTAATTGTATTAACTGTGTACCGGTACGAGATCCACCATACTGTAAGTTGAAGATTGTAATTTTATTTTATTTTCTTTTGTAATTATCTTTAGACATAATAAATCTTATTAATTGTAACTAGAAACTGTTTTGGGTCGTATCTTTAATATTGTTGATTCTGTGGTATCGTCCTTTGTTAGGCACTGATTACAACGAGCCAATTAAAATTAAAATAGGAGATTAATTTCTCCCAATACAAGTCAGTGCGTAACAATTTTTTTTAAATGTGTTTGTGGTGGGGTTGCGACAATTGTTTTGACATCGAGAGGGGGCATGGCGCTTCATAAAGGTTAAGAACCTCTAATTTATTTGGTTAGTTAAACTGCTTTCTTACATGTTAACTATTTTTTAAAGGCAGTCATTGGGAGAGGGGGTGCAGCCGGAGCTCATAAAGCTCAAAGTGGGGCCATGAAGGTGGAAATCTAGCACATTTTTATTTTACAAAACAAATTTAAAAAAAAAAAAAAATATTGGAAATATACTTCCTACTCTATACTTTAGATGTATAGCAAAACCGCCTAACAACCTTGTTTGACATTAACAGTCTTGTTATTAAAGGTCATCCTGGCTTTCCCAAAACATTTCCCAAAGACACGATAACCAGGTTTTTCCCAAAAGTATTCTAACATTTCGAGGTTTAAATGGTGAAAAACATGACAGAAATTGGCTTGTCTGGGGTACTTGCTTTGCTAAACTTTCCTTTTCGATTATTTTGGAACAAGATCTGTTGCAGCATTAGTTCAGCATCTAATCTAACTATATACTTGCATCAACAAAAGGATTTTAGCAGCTAAGAAATGGCAGATATTATGAACTTGCATCCCAGAACATGAGAGAAGCAATATTATTAATTCATAGGCAGTGCTATCTGGCTTGGCGAGAACTAGAAAGACGCCTGTTATCTGGAAAAGGCATTTACAGCCTATTGAAGGCATCAATAGAATCATTGATGCTGTAAACATTCCTTGTTGAATTAGGGCTTGCCGTACGTGGTAGTTCCCAGCGCATTGGTGAACAAGACAATGGAAATTTTTCTGAGAGTCATGGATTCTATTCTAAAATAACTTGTGTTGCAAGTTAAAGAGTCTCAAGAATAGGGAGAACGACTTCAAGTATATTATCCCAGTGACAATGGCCAAAACAAGTTCATTCCTGGACGTTCCTTGTAAAGCAACCCATTTTGGCGAACAAGGAAAGTGCAAAGTACATTGTTGTTAGTGTTGATTCCACACCATACTCATCCCACGGTGAACAAACATAATTTCATGTTAGTTATGTAAAACCATATGAAAACCAGAATGAAATTTTAGAAAGATTTTTACAGTTATTTGACGCAAGCCAGAAAACGGGAAATGACATAGCACATACGATCGCACATACGATTGTATAAACATTGAAAGAGCACGATGTTCCACTGTCAGATATCAGGGATATGACAATGCAGTAAATATGGTGGGAAAATAGACAGGTGCACAAGTATGAATACTTGAGCAATGTGAGGAAATGGTGTCGCAGAACCCATCCCTGGAGCCATAACGTACATTGGAATTTTTCAAGCTGTTTACAACTTGTTTAGTTCTAGTCCACAGCTATGGGAAATCTTGCAGAAGTTTTGTCTTCATGAAATGTCTAACACACAATGGCCTGACCGTGTTGAAAGTATAAAGCCCTTTGTAGTCTACTTGCCGGGCATGTCTAACACACTATGGTCAGGCAGTGTTGAAGTATAAATCACTTTGTAGCTCACCTGCAAGACATCAAATTAGCATTAGAAAACCTCTTGGATTTGAACCTAACCGCCAAACAATAACAGAGAAGAATGGAGCTTTGTTTAATATCCCATCCTACATTTGTTTGATAGTGTATGTCCTAATGGTGCAGAGTATTAGTTTCAGTTGATATCTGTAACAAGGTTATTCATCCAGAAATGCAACGCTGGGTGTCGAATTGTCCAACTTAAAAATCTTGATTTCAGATCTGTCAAACCTTCGGAACAGTTGGAAATATATTTGGCGCGAAGATAAGCATGTTGTTCTACTTTTTGCATAGATGCGAAACTCGCTGGAACTTGGAGTGAATCAAAACGCCAAAGAAAAGGGTTCCGTGATGAAGGTGCTACAGAGAAAGCAGATTTGTCTAAGCAAGATGAAATGGATGAATGCCCTGAGGAAGTATACTTCAGCAAGTCTGTCTTCTATGTAATACATGTATTGGATAACGTTATGAGTGGACTCACTGTTCGTTTCAATTCTGCGGTGAACATTTCTGAGAAGTTCAGCTTCCTCTAGACGCTAGAAGTACCTATCAATTTCTCAAGATGATTCGAAAGAAATATCAAAATGACTGGCAGATCAATACCCCACTGATATCAGTGAAGATTTTGTAATGCAAGTCATTTGCCATCTGTTCATCAAGCACAGTTTAGAGAGAGCCAACTGAGTCCACTGGAACCACTGAACTGCTTGGCAAAGATACAAGCTAGAAGGACTCTTTCCAGATAAATGTTTCTGCCTTCGTATTGCGATAACAATTCATGCCACTGTCACCCCTGAAGAACGACTATTCAGCAACTAAAGCCGATAAAAAATTATCTAAAATCGGCTATATCACAGTCATACTCTGTGCTGAATCTGAACTTTTCCAAAAACGATTATTTTTTTATCACGTGATTAGCTATTTTTCCAGGAAGAATACTGGAAACCACATTATTTGTTTAGCAGAATATAATGCCATTAAATCTAAACTAGAATAACTGTTATGAGCGTGTAATCAATCTAGTATTGAATTCATTGCTTATGTATATTGTTTCATCTCCGTAAAACATCTATATATGTCTAAACTATCTTTAGTAGGAATGTACATAATATTTAACTTAATGGTAGGCTCACCTCAGTATTAAATGTCAAGCGACAATTTATGCCGCTTTTTTGTAAAACTTTTCAGCTCTATTCAATCCAAACATCGGAAGTCATGAAACCGTTTGATCTAGTATCTTTATGTTGTCTAAACCCATTGATCCCATTTGATGTATTTACAAGTACAATCCTGCTAAGCGTTTACCTAACACTGGGCGTACTCTAGCCCGGACCCATTATCACACAATCCAGTACTGTGGAATCATTATCTATGAACGATATACAAGTCATACAGATAGTGCAGACCTTCCGCGGATTGTTTTACATTGACACCTAGGGCGATGGCTGACTTCATGGAGATGTTCGAAAGTATCAATATCAGCAACCAAAAATAAATAAATACGAAGTTACGTATTTA